TTAGAAGGAAGCTACCAGAGCTCAACACTTCGTACTTGCTGCCTTTCCTCACTCAGCTTTTCCCAGAAGAACTGGAAACTTCACCCTCCAGGCCCTGCCCAGGGGGCAGAGTGGCTCAGACTCCCTCCTCCAGGAAGCCCAAGCTGAAAAAGTTCTCCTCCCCTGGCCTACCCACAGATTCAGCCTCCCTCTTGTGCTCCTCCAATTCCATTCCACTTTTTGGCAGCTAAGAGTTCTAACTGCCCAAATTAAGCAACTTTCTAGACTCTTAATGATGGGCCAGGACCCAACATAAAACAAGTCCTCTTCAAAATGTTAAAAAAATCATAATTTCAGAAAAGACCCAAGTTTTCCTTCTAAATTATTCTATGTTTGAGTACTATAGAGGATATATTTTTTAATATTTATGAGCTATAAGTAACATTTCCAGATTAATCATATAGATGCAACTTGACATACAATAGAGTAATGTATGCATCAATAACCATATTCTAAACTGAAAATATTCCAAGTTAAAAATGTGTTTTACAAAAACAAAAGAAGATACCAAAGTGGGAGGGCTGGCCTGGGCAAGGAGGGGTAAGAGAGGGTGGAGGGCGTAAGGGTGGTCAGATGGCATTATGTAAATGCATGAAACTGCCAAAGAATAAATTTAATTTTTTAAAATGTGTTTAAAGAATGGGGATCCATCATAGCGACAAAGTGCTTACCTAGCACATACAAGGCCCTAGGTTTAATCCCCAGAACAGAAAGAAAAAGGGAAAGGAAAGAAAAAGAAAATGCAGTTAGCACACCAGACTGATGACCATTCTAGCTTAACAGTACAGCGCACTACAAGATCGGGGGCTTCCTTCCTAACCTTGAGCGGAGGCTAGTTGCTGAGACTCAACGCCACAGCCCAGCATCAGGAAAGCACAGAACCACAGAACACCATCCTGGCGTTATCCTGAGAAAAAATTCATTACCCTTCCAAGAACAGTCTCTACTGGGAAGAAAAAAAAAAGAGAGAGAATTTTTTTTGAGATAGAGTCTTAACTAAGTTGCTCGGACTAACCTAGAATTCCTTGACTCAGCAAATCAATCCTCTGGCCTCAAGATTCCTGAGTAGTGCAAGTACCAGCGTGAGTCAAGTGCCACCAACCCTGCTGACACACGGTTTCTACCTCTTTTGCACAATTGTAAAGCTAAGAAATCAGCTGGCTGAGACAGCTGTTAGCTTGTATTCTGCCCTAGTACAAACTGGAACATGGCACACTCTCTGGACAGAATATTCCTCAAGGCAGGGCTGAGGACTCTGATGCTGGCCTTGGCAGGCACCCTTACCCTGACCACCTTGACTACAGCAGTAAACAAGATCAAGTCCACACTTCAGAAAGCTCAGACTCTGAGAGAAAGGAAGAAGCAAACACACATTCAAGTTTCATCATTTTCTCTAGGCCTCTGAGAGATCAGACTCCAAAATGCTGCACCTAATAACCTCCATCCATATCCCCACCTCATTAAACACTGGTGCTCTAATCATCAATTTAAAGAGAGCAGAAGAGCGCTCTAGTACACTTTTTAGGCAAGAAATAAGCACTGTTTCAAGATCCAAGAAGCCCAAGAAATTGACCAGATCTCCCAATAACACCTGATGGTGATAAGCCAAATTTATTTTTGCTAGGAACCTTTGTAATTAACTTATTTGATTTTTACGATATCTCCTATCTTGAAGGCATATGAGGTGTGTATATATATATATATATAGTATATTTTTTCCTATTATAACAGAGCTGAAGACTCCTTATCACCCAGTAACACCACAGCACAAAACATGTCTGTGAAGATATGGCTATACAGACCTACTGCGTACCAGCTGTGTACGAAGTTGATACAACAGAGTACAAGTACCAAGTGATGAGAAATGAGTATGCGTATGTGCTCACTACACTATGCTCTTTATTATTTTAGCGTTTACGCCTAGTTTAAAACAAAAGTAAGCCACGGAGCAGCCTCAGGCAGGGCCTCGGGAGCATCCAGAAGAAGGAACTGCCATCACAAGAGATGACAGCTCCGTCCAAGTGACTATCCCTGAAGGCCTTCCTTGGGGACAGTGTGTGGATGCTGAAAGCAGGGCCACTGCTGCTCCTGACCCTATGTAGGTCTCAGCCAAGTGTGTGCTCTCAGTTTCTAACAAAAAAAAAAAAAAAAA